CATAAACTGTATGTGAAAGATGGAAGTAGCCGTATTCCTGACTCTCACTTTTCAGGGGGACTTGTGCTTTATAGTATTGTGGCTGTCCCTATCTTGATCTTTTTGAAACAGAACTGATTTTGCCTCGGTTTTGGAGCCAACCATGGAACCCATGCAGCAGGCAAAGCTTTCTTTTCGGCATGGAGATATAGTTGGACACATCAGCGGTGAAGAGTATTACTTGGATTAATCTCTGATGCATCCATCGGAGTATGACTGCTAGATAGAAAGCACATCAGCATTTTAAAAAAAAGTGCTTGGGCGAATAAGGCATGTTGTATGAAGTACTGAAGAGTCCTCCAGAGTAGAAAGGCTCTATACAAGAATAAGTTCATTTAAAATCTTTTATTTACACATGGGATCCTGGTTGCTGTCTGGAGGTGTCCCAGTGAAGCAGTTACCCTTCTCCCACTAAAGACATGAGGGATTAAGCAGTGCGGATTACTTAAGAGGTTATACTATCAAGTCCTATAAGCTCAATGAGTCTGTGTGGATAAGAGGAAATCCAAAATAATTTCAAACTTGTGCATCATATTAAGCCCAACATCGCCATGACATTCATGCCCATGATGAGTGTATGTAAACCTCTGACTACAACTTTTTATTTCAACACAATAAATACTCACAAAGCTAATCACCATTTCTCACTGTGCCACTTTTCAAGGCCATAATCAGACAAAGAAATTAGAACAGTTTTGTTCTACTACAAAACATTAAATAAATAAAGACTATATTCTTGCCTTTAATGGTTTCTATAGACGAACGATGAAAAAAAACAACTTTTCCCAGAAAACTTTTGTTTTGCTAGACAAAGAACATGAAGGTTTTGTGATTCAGAAAAATTTCACAGCTGTGGCTGTTAACCTGTGGCTTTTGTGGTTGATTGTCGGGCCAATCCCTTTAACTTGAAATCATGCTTGCCAGTGTACTGTGGAGGAGAAAATGTTTTTTTCAGCACATAATAAATGTCATTTCTCTGGCAGAGAGAACCACTCACTGTAAAAAGTCCCCCAGCTCAGGTGCTATTTTGATAGAGCTGATGGTATCTCACAGCAGACAGACTAAACATCAGGACATCACGAATGCCTGAAAGTGTCTCGAGATAATTTGAAGATATCATTTCTAATCTGGCCACGTAACCTCACACACTTACTTCCTGCTTTATATTTGAAAAAAAAGATAGACAAACATAAACTAGTCCATAATAGTGAAGTGGAAGAAAAATGATGCTTGGTGTTCAAAAAGTTTTACGAATAACAGGGCTCTCATCCCCTAGCCCTAATTACTGGCGATGTAACACTAACTGAATTCTGTTGGGCTGTTTCTACCACCTTCGCACATCTACAGACTGCAGACTCTGACTTTTTTGCACAATAGCTCCAGTGCAGTCAAATTAGATGCAGGGTGTCTGTGAACAGCAGTTTTCAAGTCCTCCCACAGGTGCTCAACAGGATTTAAGTCGGGCTGTATGTTTAAGGTCAAACCTCCTCCCCATTCTCAAGTCTTTTGCAGCCTTTAATAGGTTTTCTTCCAGGTTTGCCCCGTGTTTACATCCATCCATCTTTCCATCAGCTCTGAGCAGCTTCCCTTTCCCTGCAGGAGAAAAGTGTGCCCACAGCATGATGCTGCCACCACCATGTTTTACAGCTGGGATTGTGTTTTCAAATCAATGTACAGTTTTGCATAAAGGCCCAAAGATTCAATTTTGGTCTCATCTGACCAGGGCACCTTTGCTGTGTCCCCTTCATGGCTTGTGGCAGACTTCTTATGGCTTTCTTTCAACAATGGCCTCTGTCTTGACGCTCTTCTATAACAGCCAGATTTGGGGAGTCCAGATTTTCCCACCTGTTAACGTGGGCCTCTTGGCTGCTTCTCTGATTAAAGCTCTTTGATTGGCCTGCCAGTTTACTGTAGGTGGCCTGCCATATCTTAGTGTTAAAAGCTTGAGATATGGTTTTGCACTTTTTTCCTACGTACTGTATGCTAACAGCCCCGTTCACGCAGTTTATTTTTTCATTTTGCCCTCACTCAGCACTGAAATCTCAAACCTTCCTACTATGGGTCACAGACAGAAATCTCTTTATTACACCTGTCCTGCAAGAAAACACAAGCTCCAGAAACTCCAGAATTAATTTATCAGCAGGGAAACATTCACACAAACAAACAAACAGGACCTTTGCCTTTCTGTAAAGATTTTGAGCTGGCCACGATCCTGGAGGACTCTGTTTAGTCCTGTTTGGAAAAGTTTCCATGCAGTTATCAAAAGCTCAGCATGTGGCCAATTCAGAGGAGGCCTCTGTTTTCATGACTGGTTTGATCTTTCCTGTCTGCTGGCAGTGATGGGCTTGTTCTAAGAATGTACTAATTTAGTCCATTTAAAAAGTTTTACAGTTTATTGGGTTTTTTTTTTTAATGGTATAAATTGTGAATACATGTGTAAGAGTATCACATTCGAATCAAATTAAAAGTAATACATGATTGATGATGTGTTTAAATATACTAGTGTGCAAAAATGATTAAACACAGAAACAGAATGTACCAAAAAGAAACAAAAACAGTAGATTGGAGCAAAGACGGGACTATATATGAGCACACTGAGGTGAAATTAAACCAAAACAACACACAGAAAAATAACCATCCATCCATTTTCTTAAATGCTTCAATTGAGGGTCACAGGTGGGCTGGATTCGTACACCCTGGACAGGTCGTCAGTCGTCAGAGATGATAACATTCATACTTAAGGCCACTTTAGAATCACCAATTAACCTAACAAGTCTGCATTTGAAGTACCTGGAGAGAGCCGCGCAGTGGATTCGAACCCACGACCTTGTTGGTGTGAGTCAACAGTGCTAACCACTGCAACAAAGAGCAAATGATTAACACGGAGGTGCGACGACATTTAAACGAAGGCAGAGAGAGAAACATGAAAGCCAACAAATATAAGCAAGTGCATTGCAAAAAGCTATGATAGCTAAGCATTCAAAGCATTTTCTGGTGAGTGTTTGGCGTCATTGTAATATTCCAGATGAAGACCAGCGAGATGCAATTAAGCTCTCCTGCTGATTTGGATGATGAGGGAAACACTGAGCTGCTTTGTGGCTCATCAATGCGGCCTATTGTCAAGAGAGGTTACATCATCGCCAGCACATAAACAAAGACCGGCTACACATCTCACTGCTCATCTTCAAAGAGCTTTGATAGAAACACAGAGTCCAGGATTTTGGTGCTTTGGTACACTAAGACAGAAATGTCGCCCTCTTGGTCACGTTCAGTCCGTTTGTTTTTTCTGTGCATGTGTGTGTAAAGCGCCTTGAGGTGACTTTTGTTGTGATTTGGCGCTATATAAATAAAATTGAATTGAATTGTTTGTGCATGCATGTAACTTCACACACACACAAAATCTGTGGGAAACTGTTTGGCGGTCTGCACAAGCATCAAATGTCAAAGCCTCTGCAAAAAGCTTGATTAGCATACCTGCAAGCTGATCGTGCATGACTTTGATAATTATCCTTTTTTTTTTTTTTATAGAAGCAGTAACTGTTTTTAGACCATTCTGTGAGACGGGAACAAACTGTAAACAGCAAACAGTTGCTCATTTACACTGGAAGGTCAATGTGTATCCTCTCATAGCTCAGCTTTTGCGCTACAGGAAATAATACATCTGCTGTGCTTCACTATGCTGTGAAATTTCAGTTGTTTAGAGACACATTTACACAAAAATCAAGGCACCACAAGTCATTTGAGGAAGTGCCTCTATAAGCTTTCTAAACCCCAGGAGCTCTAGACAAATCGTTTAGCCACTGATCACCATTTCAGAAGCTATTAAGTTATTAGACAAGCATTAAGACACGAGACGAAGCCTCGCATTTCTGCTCTGTGAGGAAACTTTATTGCTTTGGTTCATGCAGCTGTTGTACCCTCAGACAGCTGCATGGTCTGAATAAAAATGCGAGAATCCTGAGAGATTTTGAAAATAATTACAATGAGAATAGACCGGTTTGGAGCCTTTTTCTCAGTTAAGATGGATCTGGTCTTGTATTAATGTTTCTCATTAATTTCCAGACACTTCAGCTACACTTAAATGTGAATGAATAAGCTTGATAATGAGATAATAAAATGTCAAGGAAGGGTGCGTTTATTTTAAATATGCGACACGAATGGCGTCACTGAAGATCAGAGTTCCCATGTTTAGTATTTAGTTTGCGCTCTTTGGGCTTTAGGTAGGGCTTCTGTGAGGATCAGACTCGGCCTTTGAACCAGTAAATAATCATGTCTGGTTGGAGTTTTTCCATCTCATAACTTCCTAATATTTCTTTGTTGAACTGTTCTTTTGCTAAAGTCATCCCAGCCGTCTTATTCTTTGAGGTTATGGATTTTTCGCTCCTTCACACCAGTTCTTTTTAAAATAGTTGTCAAGGATTTGTGTTGTTCATCTTTAAAGTAACCTTCTCACATGCTCTATTCACAGTTTTGTGGTCCAGTCTTTGTCAACCGATTTGAACAACAATTTTGATTTTTGTACTTCCGATCAATTATTCTGTTGTACTGCAGACGCACAGAGTCAGTCCCTTTTAAATTATTAATGGCACCCAATAATGATTAGTTTTTATAATCAAGGCTTTGTTGTTGTTGTCGTCATTCAGAGGTATTATTACATTTCCACACTGATGAAGTGATTTATTTATTTCAGAAGAAAATATTTAACTAAATAAAAAACAATTTAACTGGGTTTCCCCAGTTGTGATGAAATTTCGTGGCACAGTCTGGGCTGACAAATCATCACCGCTTTCCCCAGAAGTTAGCTGTTAGTGTGGCAACATAGGGATTAAAACACTGATGATGAATCATTTATATTAAGACGTGCCTAAAAAACCCACAACAATGGCCACTATGCCAAGAAACAATATTTCATAATGAAAAAGAAAAAAAAAAAAAAAAAAAAAAAAAAAAAAAAAAACAGGTTTTGAGTTGTTTTATAAGTTTATTAAAAATGAAACACTGAAATGTCCAAATTACATAAATGTTCAAAGACTGCAAGTCTCGTTTTAAAAAAATGAAATTCCAGTGTCAAGCTGAATTCCAGTTCGTCTGACGCCTGTGAACAGTCCTCACATGCTTTCTCTCTGAGTCGAAGTATTTGGACACACACTGGTCGAAATACGTTCTCACAGTCTCACGCATAAGTTACAAAATCAGCAAATGCAGTACAGAGCCTGCAAACGTATCACATGCAGGCAAGTTATTGTTTGAAAAAGAGGACAGCGACAAAGATACATTCACTGATTGTGTGTGAGTGTGTGTTCAAAACGTAGTCGTGCAGAACGGGCAGACTGGTCGCAGCTTTTCTCAAGAGCTGCTCATCCAAACAACACGAGTCAAGAAACGAGACAAAATAGCAAAAAAAAAAAAATATCTGTACAGTTTTGATGTGGTTTTTACCTCTTCAGCTTTCTTTACGATCAGTTAAGACCACATAGATGATGACATTTGGTAAAAGTTTCTTACTGTAAAACTTCCCCAACACACACAGAGTGGTGCAGGCTGCGGCCACTGCAGGGGAAACACTGGCAACACAGAATTAGCCCAAATATGTGAACTGCTCATCTCAGTGAACTCAAATGCAACACTACGTGGTACCCTGGCCCACGTGGGTTAGACTAATGGTTGTTGGGATACATGATGAAGTCAGCAATTTCTCAAACATTAGTGAAATGACTCCTAATTAATTTGTTTATATAGAGATAGGCATGGAGGCCCTGGCAGGTTTATTATTGGAGATGGTGGAGGCTTTCTTCGATGTGGAGCCCCAGCAGGTGTACACCAGCCTGTCGTGGTTGTTGCTGCTCTGCAGTACTTTGCGTTTATGTTTGCTTTGAGTTCCACCCTGAGACGAGCCCAATTTATTCTTTGGCTGGATCCTTGTTCCTGGAGCTGAATATGGAGCCTGATGGGCTGTGGTAACGTGGACCCCAACTCGGTTTCCTCCCAGCTTGTGGTAGGTTGAGAGAAGCAGCCGGTGGAGCTCCCGCTGGAAAGTCTTGTTGAAGTAGAAGTAGATGAATGGGTTGTAGATGTGGGAGCTTTTGGCGAAGAGGGCGGGAAACACGAAACCCTCCGGAGCCATGTACCGGTGCTCCTTGTGGAAAATGAAAAGGAAGGACACGACAGCGTAGGGAGCCCAGGCAATTACAAAACCCAAACTGATGCAGAAAAACATCTGGAAGGGGAAGCGACAGAGTAAAGAGGGTAAGTTAGTACACTGGAAACTAATCAGAGACCTGATGAATCATCTCTGACACACAAATAACTTGTTTCCTATGAAACGATCCATTTTCAAACAAAGCAAAGATCATGTGGTGCAGCAGACTGAATATTTCATGTCTACACTTTCCTAGTAACGGATCTCGTACGGTCATGTGAATATTGACGTGTTCAGGAAAAAATTATGGCACTAATTCTATTTTTAAAGCGACACGAGTTTCTTTTAAATATAACGATATTTTTGTTATTTTTACCTTCACTTTATCTTTTCCATCTCGTGTGGTTGGAATGAACCCATTTCCGTTCCCTTAAATATTAATAGAAAAAACATAGCAGAGGCAACTCCTCCCTACAACCTCTTGGTCATCTGGGCCTCACACTGTGTTCTGGGCCTCGTGGGCTCTCTCCTGGTACTCTGGATTTCTTGAATTTTTTTTCAAGGTCAGCTTTGACCTCGGGTGCTAATAGTGAAGGTCAAGGTCAAATGCTTAACCAACCTAGGTACTCGTATCCCCCAAGGTTTAGATTGTTGTAAAATACGAAGACAATCGATAAAAAATTGTGAGTAATATAAAGTTGGTTTGTTGTGACCTCGAGGGGATTTTCAGCAAATTTAAATCAGCTTGAGCTGTTATTGGTATCTACCATCACAAAGAAATGTGAAATCCTGTGGACAGTAGAGTGCTAACAAACACAAATAGACAAACGGAACTGATTACATCCTCCCTTCCATTCAGAGGAAGAATACATCGATTGATGTGGCTGAAATGTATCTGTGATAAACTGCAGGACAGTCAAACATTCAAAATCAAAGGTTCTACAGACAAAAGACAAGTCAAGTATAAAGTGTGACTCAACTTGGAGAGACAAGAGGCTCAAATGTTTAGTTCTGAGATAACGCTGGAGGCTCTTCTTCCAGCTTCAAAGTCTCTAACAGATACATGTCATTATCAGCTTTGTTCAAAACCCTGTTACATACCAAGATATGCTGTTGCCTTAAAACTCCAAGAAGATCTAAGTTTAGATCCGATCTCCAACCACAATAAAAATGCACAGAGGGCTAAATGAAAGCAATGAGTAATGACTGATGAGTAAAAGATGTGAATGCCTGTACGACCTTCACAATGCATTAGTACTGTGATACCTCTATAACTGATAAAGTCTGATCTAATGCCACGAGGTCAAAGTGAGAATTTTACAGAGAAAGGTTCGAAATTATAAAAGCTCCAAAACTTAAAGAAAGATGCTTCATTGCTTTCTTTATTACCTCCTTTAAGATACACTGGACCATCCCATATGAAAGGAAAGGAGATATAACTGGCAACTAGCATGTAAATACTAATTATTAGCCTGTTTTTCATTTAATGCCATACCCTGCTGTTGTAATATTCATGGTTCACACCCAGCCTGGTTTTGCTGCAGGCCTCTTCCTGTCAGGAGGGACTTCTTCCTTCCCACTGTCACCAGCTGCTAATATATTGCAGGGTTTTTACTTTGCAAGATAAAGCATATTGAGAAAACTCTATAAAGACAGTTTATTTAACTCTAATTCTTATAAAGTTTTTGCCTTGTGTGCCGAACATAGTTTTACATGTAAATGGAAAAAAAAATCTCTCTAATTTCTCTGGATCATCTGCCTCCATCTCCATCCTGCCTCTAGCATCCTCCTCTGTTACACCTCTGCACATCCTGCATCACTACATTCTTGAATCTTCTCTGTGGTGTTTCTCTTTTCCTCCTGCGTGCCACCTCCTTATTCAATATCCTTTGCTGCATGGTCACTTAATCATTTCCCCAGTGTGAATAGACAACATGAGCTGAGCTCAATATGAAAAGCATCTGGTTTCACTTTATAGGCTAGTATATATTAATTTTTCTTTAAAATTACAGGTGTGGTATTTGAGTGATGTTTTTCACGGGATATTCGGGTTGTTCTCTTTCATATGACCTGACTAGTTTGGTGTAGTTATCTGATGATGAGGCCAAGGATCAGTTATCAGGAAGAGACACGGGTGGTCATTTTTGGCACTATTCGAACACTGATGGAGAATTTCCTGTTGGTGTGCACCCAGCAGCAAATTCGAGCGCTGCCTGGACTGGATTCTCTCAACATTCTCAGTTCATGTGTGTTTGTCAAGTCTGCAGATATAATGTAAAGACTGAAGCTCACCATGGAGAGCCGCTTCTCAGCGCGGCGCAGGTTGTTGCGGATGCCCCTAGCAGACAGCAAGTAGGAGAAGCGGGACACCTTGTAGAGGATCCTGCACTGCGACACCACAATGAGGAGGACGGGAACCAGCGTGAAGCAGGCAAAGGAGCAGATGACATAGAAGGCATCCTTGGCAGAGGTGTGATAACCCTGCCAGGCGATTGTGCAGGACAGTCCGTAAGGCTCGGGGACGTACTCGCCCCAGCCGAACAGAGGGAAGCTGGACCACACTGTAGCAACCAGCCAGATAGCACAGCACAAGAGGCGGATGTTGGTTCCTTTCAGCCACACAGCTACAGCAAGAAGGCAAAAAAAAGGATAGAGACTGCAAGATTGGGGGCATTTGGGACATGAGTTACATGAAACTACTACTCTTAGCATCAAATTCTTATTAACTAACAACAACAGTCCTCACCGTAAGCCAAGCTGTAGCAGGTCTTTAGGTAGCGGATGATGCTGATGGCAGTGATGGTGAACATGCCGCACAAGCCGAAGATGTAGCAGCCGAAGCCGTAGTAAACGCACGTGATGTTTTCTCCCAGCCAGGCGTGGTGGAAGGAGGACAGGATGGCGAGCGGGTAGAAGCAGATGCAGCTGAGGAAGTCGACAACAGCCAGGTTGACGCACAGCAGCTCCGAGCCCACCATCTTCTTCCTCCTGAGGTAACAGATCACCAGCACCAGCCCATTCCCCATTACAGAGAGCAGAGCTGCACCGGGAAGAAGGTCAGAAGGAAACTGCTGCATTCGTTTAGCATTTGGCCTCTTTGGAAGCAACACTATTTTTATAATTGCTATGACCAAAATGTTAGCAAACATTTAGAAAGTTTTTGAGACAAAGCAAAAAATGTTTACATATTTTATACCTTCAAAAGGGCATCGTTATTACTTTAAAGTGAGCGTATCCCATGGAAAATGTTCCCATCAGATATGCCAATGTCAGTTTTACTTAAATAGCACATTTAATTACAGATAATGTCAATGTTGTTTAATATAAAGATAAAAACATAGGCTCACAATGATGCCTCAAGGCAATTTAAAAAAGCAATATAAAAGTATACATAAAAATAAAATACAACACACTTAAACTCTTAATGCCGAGGGTATCATATTTGATAACTGAGGCTTTCTGACTACATCAGTGCGATTTGTTTTCCCCTGAAAAAACAAAATAAATTCCACAAAACTCACATAAGCAAATACATTTTGATTTTTTCAGCCAAGATTCCTGTTTTGATCACTGTGTTTCAAGGACAACAAATAGGAACAATTTTTTTTGTTCTTGACTTTTTGGAGCAGCAACAAATATTTCCCTCTTATTTTGCGATATCCAGCTGTTAATATGAGTGTTGCTCATTAGTTTGAGAATCACCTGATGTCGGCAGATGTTGTATACTTGTGTGGAAAATCTAAGAAAACCATCTTTAGCAGAATAACCTTCTTATGGGCACTTTGCACTATTTGCCCAGCAGTCTGACATGCTAGGAGTTCATTTTTAGGTCGTACATATCAAAGTGAGAGCCACCATGCAGAATAACTGGATTATTGACGTCTTAGAGGCAAACCGAGCACACATTTATATGAGTGACAACACAATACAGGTTAAATCCTTACTTATAGTTACTGCTATTGCAATGCACACCTTCAGCGCTCCTAGTCAAGTGTAACTAGTTTAATGAGCGACTGAGCCCTGCAGACAAATAAAAGTCAAATATAAGATCTGAGAAGTTCACTGAAAACGAACCAATGGAAAGAAAAAGAAAATGAAATGATTAAAGTTTAAATACTTTATATTTAGTGGAAATTAAAGCACTTTTTATAACTTAAAGGCGTGAATTAAGCTTATCAAAAAAATAGTCAACAGCATTTTTGTTTTCCAGGTAAAGCAGAAATAGAGAGAACAGATAACTCAGCATACCGATGGAGAAGATGGCCAGTCCCACGCATATGTCAGCAGCTGGGGTCAGTTTGGAGGTGAAGGCGGAGGTGGTCCGGTTTCCATCAGAGGAGTTCAGAGGCATCGGTCGCTGCTGCTGGTGTTGCTGATGCTGCAGTGGCTGAAATCCAGTCCTGTCTGTCAAAGGGAGATGAGGCTGACTTTCTTTTATGCATGGGGTTCTGTCGCCATGGTAACTCAAGTGTGTGATGTCCGTCAAATACACTGAAGATGGGGATCCAGGAGCTCTATAGACAAGGACGTTATAAGGACTTTGGCTTAACTTGCAAATGCCACCACAATATCTCCAAGAGCCTGGGCTTTAACAGCCTAACTAGCTATTTTTCCATTTATTCTAAGGTATTATAGTTTAGTTTATTTTTAATCCTGCAATATTACGATTCCTTAACATTTTGTTGACTTCAACTTAAAACCACATCAGAGAGCCAGAAACTGCAGTTCCTCCAGCGGCCAGTTGAAGCTGGGTCTATAAGAGAGTCAGACTTCCACATTAAAAACAAAAAACTTAAGAGATTAGATGAACTTTTCACAGCGTGGTACAAAGACTGGTTTTCATTCTTTGTGGCTTATTTCTGCCCTCACAATAACTATAGAGAAGGTGGTGTTTTATAACTGAAGGTGGCATGGCTGCTTTCATTTCCACCTGTAGGTGGATCATCGCAAGCTGTGTTTATGCTGTGGTTCCTTTTGAAGTATTTTTAATGTGAGTTTTTTTTGACTAATATAGACCATCTGGGACATTTATGATTCTTTTTTGGTGAGTGAATATTAAGTGTTTTAGTAGTTTGGTGCATTAGTCACCCTCTCATCCAAATATGACACTTCTGGCCTCAAAAGACCAACATGTCACCATGCAGAGGTCAGAAACTGATAGGTGACGTCTAGAGATCTCAAAAACCTGCGCATGGCTCACACACTGTGAGCCCAATGCACAAAATTGTATTTGCTAAACTTTTCGGAAGATTAAGTGGATTACATGCAAGTGTACACTCCTGAAAGCTGTGTTGCAAAACCTGTTAAAACTAGGACCTGCTGTTTCAGCTGCTAAACGGAGATTCACTTGTGGTTCTTTTCGAGCCACACATTTCTTGGGAGACGTGTCCGTCACCTCATTTTGCACATTTTAATATGTAGACATGGTGAAGATGGCATGCTGAAGTTCAAACTGAGCATCAGAATTGGGAACAAAAGTGATATAAGTGACTTGTATGGTTGTCAGACAGCCTGCCCCAGACAACCATCTTTAGGCTTCACAGAAGATGGCCTAAAAAAATGAAAACATCCAGTGAGCAGCATTTCTCTGGGTGAAGATACCTTGTTGACGTCAGAGGAAAATGGCCAGACTGCTTTGAAGTGAGGAAAACTGAGTAACCCAAATAACCACTCACTCATCCAAGATGTGCAAAAGAGCATCTCTGAATGGACAATACGTCAAGTCTTGATGCAGATGGTGATTGCAGCAGGAGTGACACCCGGTGTGGGTTTCCTGTGTCAAGAAAAGGAAATTGAACTACAGTTCACATGGGCAACACAGAATTGGATAAATGCAAGCATGAAAGCATGGATCCATCAAGCCTTGTATCAACTGTTGATGGCGTAATAGTGGGGGGGGGTTCATTTGCATGTCGGAGGCTACCTGGTTATTGTTGTTGACCCTGTCCACCCCTTTATGACCTCGGTGCAATCATGTTCTGATGCCTGCTTCACAAAGGTTAGAACAAACTTCTGGTGAGCTGATTTCATGAGCCCTTCAAACCAAAAACCAAGTATTTAAAACTTAATGATTCAGATAATTGATCTACATTTGAAAATCCTTAATTTTATGCTAAGTTCCCATGTATTTTCACTCCTGTGCAGCAATGCTGGTATAATAGCACCACATCAGGGCTGGTTCTGGTCCCCGAGCTGCACAATAGGAAGCATAATAATCGTCACTGTTGCTTATGGCAGGTCGAGGCACCATCTGCTGACCTCTATGAAGAACTGCAAGAAAGCAAAAAAGTCAAAGGAGGAAAAAAAAAAAAAGACAACTGGAGGCTTTGAGTAGAAAGATAAAGTAGACTTTATTTAATGGTGAAACCTAAATAAGATCTGTGATTACAAAACAGGCTCCCCATGTAGTTTCTTTCAATGTCACAGAGGCTGGAATGCTGTACTGACAGAAAAGGCATCAGAAAGACTTGACCTAAAATATAAAGCTTGAAAACTACGAGCTTCAGAGAGAGTCGAGAGAAAGAAACCCTCTCACGAGTCGTTCCTACAATTCAATGGCAGTTACAATAGTTTAATGAAGACGTTCAGCAGTTGTCAACATCAGAAACTGGAGAATAAAAGCAATCGTGACTTCATGAAGTCTGTAGAAAAGAGACAGTGAAGAGGCATAGATGGTAAAAGAAAGGGTTTCCTTTGTTGCACTACGTCATAAAGGGCCTCATTTGGTTAGGACATAAAAATACATGGTAGCACGAAAGCCTTCTGTGCATCAAATGTCTAAGACGCTTGGAAGTCTTTGCACTGACTACACTTTTCTCAGACCACTGAAATGTTACGCTGTACATTAAATCAGAAACCAAGTGGCATTTTCCCTTTAAGTAGCCTCCAAGCTAACATACACATATACACCCACGCGACAAATATACACTCAAGCGCATCCTGCATCCCCATCATGAGCCAGCTGCAAAAAAAAAGGGAAACATCCAAAAATATTCGGGTTATCAATACACTGGAAAAATATAGCACTGTAGGTCTCTCTCTTTTCATTTTTAAAGGAATAGTTTAGCAGCTTGGGAAATATCAGAGTAAGAGGTGAAGATTGGTTTGAATAAGCAGCCTGAAGCTAATAAAGTTCACCCACCAGCTTCTCCAACTCTAACACCGCAGGCGTCTGCATGGATTAAACAAACCACATCTCTTTTTAATTTTTAAGCTTTGGAGGTGCTGTTTGGGTGGATTTTATTTCTCAGGGTAGAGCCAGGCCAGCTGCTTCACATTCACCACATATATTCAACCTCTTCCCCTCGCCTTAAAAAAAGAAACAATGCTGAACTCCTCCTTTAAAACTCCAGTTATTAAGAAAAATATTTCCTTTGTTGAAAAGCTCTTTCTCAATACTTTAGTGTAAAGGATTTTATAAACACAGCTCTGCATTTTTCAAATCGGCATCACCCAGATGAATACAATTTTACCAACACCTGAAACACAAAAATAAGTGTTTAGTCTTATTGTTCATTAAATTCATCGTCTCAGGCAGAGTCATTTACAGAGCGCTCACTCTATATCTGGGATTAATATCTCTATCCATTTTGGCCATCTTTAAAAAAGGAAATGGTTGTGTTCTTTAGCTTTCCTGTATCTTAATGCACACCAAATGTTTACTTTTTGGGTCTGGTCCCAAACACCCCCCCACCCCACCCCACAAAACAAAAAATAATAATTTTTGCCGTTCTCTTAAGTGTTGGCAGCGATGAGGAAAAAGCACATTAAAAATAGACATCTTTAAATAGCTGTTCAGCTCTTCTAAGTGCAGCACAAATCGGAAACATTGAATTCAAGTCATCGTTATCTCCTCCCCCGTCTCCGCGTATCATACAACGAATATACCGAAAAGAAACATTTTCAGTTAAGAAACTAAATGTGAAAGGATAAATCTTTGATCAGACAAATAAACAGTATACTGCAGCCACACTGTAACATCCAAAAATAGTCTGAAGTTGAAATATAGATTTTTTTTTTCTTGCCAAAGAAATGCTGGCGTTCACTCTAAGTAGATTTCATATACTGCTGAGGTGTGATTTGTGTTTTTACGTCTCTGTTGATCCTACCCCGGCAGTCCTGAACGCAGCATCAAACCGTTACAGAGTAAAACACTGACGTCCGGTGTCATTTGGCACATGGGGTGCTCTTGCTGACAGCTGCGGTGGCGTCGGGGTCTTTGTTGTCTGCGGTAACAGCAGCGGCGCTCCTTTCCTGGTCCTCGTGGTTACTGTTACTATTATTGTTGTTGTTGTTTTGGACACTCGGAAGCCCGTGGCTGTTGTTCTGGACCAGCGGCATGTCACCGAGCTTCAGCTCCTCCAGCTTCTTCCACAGCTCTTCTCTCTCCTGCTCCTTCTTCTTTTCCCTGTGAAACCACAGTATTTAAAAACAAAAACTAAGCAAAACACCAGACACCAGTGTTGATATCACCAAACCAATAATTTTCATCACAGTTTTAATCAAAACAACCTATTTTTCCCTAACGAAATAAAAACTAATGCATGAGGACAAAAAAATATGATGAAATTCATAAAAACAAGATGTTCTGGAGAGATGACATCCAATCTGAACTAATTAAGCTGTGTAGTAAGATCAGATGCACACATTTGATCTGACCCTGGGGAATCAGGAGAGGGCTTTGGCTAACAACGTGACAAAACGTGAACACCTGAGAGGAAGTGAAGAGACATAAGGACACATTTCACATCTGATGTCAAGGAAAATAACAGACTAAACTGTGTGTAGCAACGTTCACTGGTAAAAACAAGGTTTTACATTTTATACTTTAGTCAGTTATTATATGTAGTTGACAAAAACTAAAAGAGCATAAATGTCCAAATTATAATTATGATTAAAACTAAATGTCTTGATCCTCTAAATTCGCATTCATTATTACAAGCAGAAATATTGTCAGCCATGCTGGATATAATACTCGTTTTCTTCCTTTTCCTCCACTCTGCTTCTGGTTGCTAAACATTAAATGAATTTGCATGAGGAGGCGTGAGTTTTACTTTGACCTGCCGACACTCGTCTTCTGCTCCCATTCATTAAAACGCCTTCTGCTGTGTCGGCTGTGCATGAAGTGATCTGTTCACGCATGAATGTTTGGCAGTGACTAAACGACAGGTGAATGTTGTGCAATTAATGAATAATCCTGTGGTGGGAAGAACACAGAACTTGGGTGTAACGATAAATGCATAAAACAAACCAAAATGACCATTTCTTCACTATTAAACATTAAAAAAAGAGATGAGATCAGCAAAAACATTCTAAATGATTTCTGAAGTTATGTGTCAGAGGCTGCACAGCATTACTTTAACACTTCAGAGACATTTTTCCTTTAGATAACAGAAACACGACAGGAAAAAGAGTGTTTGAGTCACTCACCGTTGCCGGTCTGCTTTATAGGAGGACGTCAACTCATCGAAAAGTGTGCAGTTCATCTCCATCAGCGTCTTCAGCACATTGTAGACTAGAGCTACGATTGTCCTGCAACACAACAGAGACTGCCATCAGCAACACAGCTGTGAAATGTGCATGAGTGGATGTCATATTTCGCTGTAACTGTGCAGAAAATCTATTTGCTGGTGAATCATTCCCAAACCAGCCAACACTCTAGTTTTCACACACATTTCTCCATCTCCTAGTGACTTTACATTTTTGTTAGAAACTTCTGTAGTTTTTGTGATGCTCAGACCTTGTTTTAATAAATAACTGGATTACACACACCCTAAAGTTTTGTGTGTGCGTGTCAACAAGTCTCTAAGTGCCAAATGGCAATTGACAACCTGAATCGAGAAGTGCGAGCGCAGCTAATCATAAACAGGAAGGCAAATCAGCTGAATGAATTGGCCATATTAGCTTTAGCTTCACCGCTTTTACAGTGAAAACAGTACAAAGCGATGCAGAAACACGTGTGAGCTACATCCTACTCGTAAATGTGTGTGACAGGTGACTGTTGGCTTCAGGAAAGCTTGAACAATATTCATTGTTTTAAGCTTTCCAAGTTAACCACTCATGATCAAAATCCCTGTAAGCGGGTTATAAGAGCATGCACTGTTCTCAGAGAGGTTTGTAATACTTTGACCTCCAAGATCTATGCTAAATGATGTGTGAGACGTGCCAGACATGATGGTGTCTTTTTGTCTCGCCTGCCATGTGTACATGTCAACACATTCTTAAGAAAAGCTCACGAGAGCAGCCTTAACACAGACACAGCAACAGGTTTCAGTGCACATTTTCATAGATGAGGTTGAAAGTGGTCCTTTGACTTTTATTCATTACATAACAATTGTTTCTAGCGCGCGGCGATCACGGTACATACGGATTCCAGTGTTCTTTGGAGATTCTGTACAGGCTGCCAAACATGATGGGAAGGATCTTGTCGATGTTCTCTTCGATGAGGCTGAGGATGTACTCGTTATTCCAGAAGTAGAGCGCCCGCTCCGCTACCTGCAAACACAGAGAAAGAAGAAAAACTCCAGTTTAAACAATGAAAGCTGACTGGAATTTGGGAGTGTTATGATAATGATGCTCAGAAAGTAGGGGACCAAAGCCCTTTCAGACATGTGCCTCTTGCATAAATCCAGCTTTACATGGGTAATTTCTATGTAGCAGTCATGATAACACGAGAAAAGCTGTTGGTTTATAAGACACTTCAGGCTAAACATAATTCAGTTTTCTTATTTCATTAAGGGTTTTACACCACTTTTACATGTGCACTGCAGCCTATAGGTTGAATCAAAGAACGTAAATGCTCAACACAATTTTATCAGACATTCGATTCATTCATTCAGCAGCAAGGTCTACGCACGGTCTTTGTGAGACAATTAAAGAGAACAGTCTGGTGATTTTCATAGC